TGACAGTTCAGAGCCTGGAGCCTGTTTCAGATTCTGTGTCTCCTTCTCTCTCTGCCCCTCTCCCACTCGCACTCTGTCTTACTCTCTCAAAAATAAATAAAATGTAAAAAAAAAAAAATTTAAAAAATAGGAATATATACATATATATAATTTGGCCAGTGAGAATTTTATTTGGTCAATACAATAACAGAGTAAAAAAGAATATATTTTTATTTATAACATAAGGGTCTCAATAATTGGCATTGCAGTTCCATTCATTAAGGGAAATTCCTTCCTTCCACTATATACAGTGGTGGCAAAAAACTTACCAGCAGATTGTTACAGCTCCCTTGATAATAAAGAAATGTTCCCTAGTTCCAATGAGGTATACAGGTCCATAAAGAAAATATGGATCAAGTGATCCAAGTTTTAACACTAGAAATAATGCATATTACATTCAAAAGAGAATCTTGAGAGTACAGGCTATGACTTCTACAAATTTATAATAGAGTCCACAGCATTAGGCATATAACAGAAACCTAAGAAATATTTGAAGAATGAATTACATTTCCATAGGCAATTCTTTATTTCCCCACCTGTTTAGAAGCACCAATTAAAATGGTGATGTGCTAGAAGCCTTCGATATTAAAAGGGTTGTAGGAATGACCCTCCCATCCTGTAAGTACTCTGCTACGTCTGTGTGGATTTGTATAATGTTCGCTGATAAAACTAAGCATTATGATAGGATTAGATACTACCAAATGCCATTCCTTGGCCCAGCAACTATGTCATAATTATGCTGTACTCCTTGGCTCCTAATTCAATGGTTTATACTTCATGAACCACAGAATGCCCCAAAAGTCTACCTTAGAAATTCTTTCAGTTCAAGGCTCAGAGTGTCTCATTCCACCAAATATGACCTTAATCTTGAAGTTCATTTATAAGAAATATCTATACTAAAATATTTCTGAGAACAAATTTTTAGGTACTAAAAATCACAATAGCTGTTAGGTGTCTTAACATAAAATGGGATCCTGAAAATCAAAACCTTAAATTTTAGCTGAGTACTCTCAAGCTGCTTTTTATTAAATGATTAAAATTGGAGGCTCATGTGACAGAATACTAATTAGCACCAAATTATATCATCTTGATGAAGACCCTACCTCAGACTTTAAGTCTGAAAACAAATATGTGAGTAACCCAAACATTCATTGTTCACATAAGCTTATTTAGAAAGGTGATTTTGTTTTATTACCTGTTTTATGATAATATTCTTAATCAAGAATATATCAGTCAAGACCTGTTTTGTACATGGAATATATTCACTTTTAACTCAGTGACTAAGTCAAAGCCGGTGTTGGGGCGCCTGGGTGGCTCAGCTGGTTAAGCAGCCAGCTCTTGGTTTTAGCTTCGGTAATGGTCTCACAGTTCGTGAGTTTGAGCCCCACATCAGACTCCATGCTGACAGCATAGAATCTGTTTAGGATTCTCTCTCTCTCTCCCTCTCTCTCTGCTCCTCCCTTGCTCATGTGTGCTAACTCTTGCTCAAAAATAAATAAACATTAAAAAGAAAAAGTCAAAACTAGTGTCCTTCAACTACCTCCAAAGAGCAAATTAAGAAAAAAAAATTTATTTAATGAGATTATAGATATGTAAGTTTTAGCTCTTGCTGAAAGCAAAGAGATGGAAAAAGTAACATCCTGTGAATGTATGTAGGGGTTCTTTTACCAAAGACTGGCCATAACATATATGGTGCCCTTCAGGAAAGGCTAACTATTTATAACTAAAAATAAGGCTAATAGACTTGTCAACCTGCTTCTGAGCCTTTAACATCTAATAGCTGATATGTGGTAACATAGCTATTTGTAGACTTTCATGATCAGAATTTCATTTCTGTAGCTCAGAAGATTCAAAGTTCATGTTTCTACACAGTGTAGATCTATATACCAGATATATGTAAACTTTTGTACTAAATAATCAATGATTTTAGGATAGAGTATAGATGCCAAAACCATCTGAACATCAAATTAATTTTCTGTCCACACATATGTATTTCTACTTCTTCTTAAGCAAACATAAATGAGAAGGGAAAGTGGTATTCTTGAGTAAATGCATGCCAGAAGTGCCAACTGTTAGCTTTTGTTTTGACCCAAATTATAAGTATTATTTACTTAAGAAGGTACAGCAATTTTCACTGAATTTCAGTTCTGTAACATCAACTATGCCTCCCCAAAGTTCCAAATATATAATAAAACACTAAACTTCAACCTATCACGTTTAAAGTTTCCTTCTATTTTTCTCATGAAACATTTAAAATGCAACATTTAAAGTAAACATTGAAAATGAACATATTTGGGGGTGCCTGGGTGGCTCAGTCAGTTAAGCGTCTGGCTCTTGATTTCAACTCAGATCATGATCTCAGGGTCATGAGATTAAGCCCTGTGTCAGGCTTCATGCTGGGCGTGGAGTCTGCTTAATATTCTCTTTCTCTACCCCCACCACCCACACATGCACTCTCTGTTGTGCTCTCTCTAAAAAATAAAAAAATTTTAAAAATCAAAATGAACATATTTGAATTCAAGACTATAGATTTTAATTGTTTTTTTACTCAAATCTTTTAAACATCTGACAATTTACCAGTTTCAAATTATTTAATAATTCTAATTTTATATCCAAAAAGTACTTTTTGTATGCCCACTTTTGAATAATTAGTAAATTAGAGAGTGTGCTTATATTGATATCCTTGGTACTGAACTAATGGTTATTTAGACAATGGTAGTTTTCAAATTAGGGAGTGTCAACAACAACAACAGCATATGTTGAATGCAAAATACTTTCAGCAATCAACTAAATACCAGATTAACTACAAAACAGTGTAAAAGGACACCAGATTATCATTAAACAATACTTACTGAATACTTTCTAGATGTCAGACATGCAATTAGCAACAAAGGACCCCAATGACACATAATGTTAGCAACAGGGCTAATATACAAAAGATGGTGGGGCATAGAACTCTTCTGTGTTCTTGAAGGTCAGTGGATGATTTGATAAGGAGTCTGCCACCTGTATGAATTCCTTATGTTTGTCTTACAGTAAGTAATGGATACTCATTTTGTTTGGGGTTGAGGTCCAGGGGATGTGTCAAATGACAGATTACTTGAAATAAATAGGAACTCACGTTCTCTTTCTTCTTTACCCCCCCCCATTATGTTTACTCTCTATATAGTTAAATGTGGAGCAATGAAATTATAAGCATGCATCTGTTTTATAAAGTTAATTACGATAGTTTTATCCTAAGTTTATATGAAATGGCTGCGTGCATTTGAAGAAGTCTATGGAGAGTGATAACTGATGGTCCTTTCCATCCTAAGCATGAAGAAGAGTGTTCTTTGATGTATGCCTACTATTTGTGACTTGTTACTATTTCTGACCCTGACTCTTGGGTTCACTGCTTTTGCTCAGTTACCCAAGAGTTTAAATTACACTTTTGCTAGACGTTTTAAAGAAGGTACTAATTATACACTCATGGTTTAGTTAAGGCCATTACTGTTTTTGATATAATCAAGGACATCATGCAACACAAAAGTTGTCTATCATAATCTTCTTAACTATTACCCACTGTACTGCTGTTACCATTACATAAGAACCATTTCAACAGCTCAACTAATCTGTGGATATATTTAGTCCCTATTCTCAGGGGCTTTTAAAAGAGCAAATCATAATACAGCACGAAATTTAAAATTTGTTAAAATGACATTAATTGTGAATTTGCCTGAATCCATACATTCCTTAAATGTAATGAACAACCTTTAGAATAAAATGTTAACCATTATATTTTTCTATGTTAATCATGCCATCTTTGTTTTACCATTAATTACTTTTTCAATTATTATTTTATGTTATTTGGTTTAAAATATTACTAACACATTTAAGCCAACATGATATATTTTTTAAAAAAACAATCTATGCAGTAAATTGTTAACATTTTAAACTTTTAAAAAATGTCTCCAAGTTGCATAGATAATTTAACTGATAAAAATAAATTAGGACACCAAGTCAAAACTCAAACTGGCAAACACTTGGGCAAAAAAGTATCACAAATCTTCCTGTCTTGGGAATCCAAGTGTTATCACTTTTATATACTCGACAAAGGAGGAACTAAAAAAACCTCCCACAGGCAACCCACCACCCCCAAGAAAACTAGATTATATAATGAAGCAACTAATTAAGTTCTGGAGGCCTTCTTCCTAAGGCATCACATTAATTCACTTGGGACTGTCCACAGGGGTGATATTTGTTTACCTGAGGTGTTAAATGCACCCTCTGCTTCCCTGCCCTATTTGCACTTTTGATAGAAAAAAGGAGTCCCTTTACACAAGGCTAGCTTTGTGACAAAGCAAGCAAAGAAAACAAACAGAGCACATGGCAACTTCCAACCACTTCGAGGTGAGTGACTGCCCCGCTCTCCAACTTTCTTGTGCTCTCATAAACACACAGTGTGAAGAATGCTGTTGTAAAAATGTTTCCCTTTTCCAACAGTTGTCATAAGACATTTCCTGTCCCTCACTTGGGGTTGAAACAGGTGAGGAAAGGGTCCTCTAAGCAAAGTTCTCACCAGAAATTCCACCTGGATGGCAGTTACCGTCACCAGCAAAGCTCTGCGGCTGCGAAGCCCGCGCCCGGGATGGAGCGCCGGGGGAGGGCTCACACCTCTCCCCGCCTCACGCCCAAATCCTCCTCTCCCTTCCCTCGCACGCCCCCAAGTCCTCTCTCCCCCCACGCCCCCCAATCTTCTCCACCCCCAATCCTTCTGTTCCCAATCTCCCACACCCCTAAATTCTCCCCTCCCTTCCCACTCACGCCCTCGAGTCCTTTTCTCGTCCAAACCGCCTCCTGAAGTTACTCACAATCCCTCTCGTCCTCTTCAGAGTTTTAACTCGCTCTTTTCCCTTAAAATAGCTCCCTTCAAGATCCCCGAATCCCCGCGCGACCGCGGGCTCCCGGCCCCCGACACTCACGAGAAGAAGGGATCATCCTCAAAGCTGCTGCTCAGCATCCCGAACATCCTGGCTCTGTCACGCGCGGCGGCGGGGGACGCGGACAGATTGGAAAACGATGTAACTCGCCGCGGCCGCGACGCGAGCCAGCCTTCCCCACGCAGTCGACGCTTCCCTCCGGGCTGCGAAGGCGGTGCCCGCCGGGAAAGGCGGTCCGTGAGGCCGAACTGCTTTCCCATTGGACACTACTCTCTGACGTCACCAAAACGAGGCGTGGAACAATGTGCCATGGCAACTGCAGTCAACACTGGAGGCGAGAGGTTTGGCTTCCGGCCAGTCAGGCAGCCCTTCATGAAGACTCCCTAGGGACGAGATAGCTTGTTCCCTGGTCTGCAGGAACACGAAATTTAGACCACCCTCTGTGTGACCTTGGGCAAATCGTCCTAGGCATTTGGGCTGGGTGGCTTCCAAAGATCCCTCCACTTGCTGCATTTTGTGATCCACAAGGAGAGTCTTCTAACGAGACACTCTGTGGTAGGTGGTCAAAAGCTGTGCACAAATGAGAAAAAAATGTGCAACAAGTTTCTGAGTGCAGTTACTAAATAATGTACTCAGTGCTTGAAGAAATGACACATCAAATGTCAAAAATTTGTGTGCCTTTTGTGAGTCTAAAACTCAAAGCGATGTTTCCCAAAATGGGAATGCTTAAGTTATATGTAAGATAATGTTATTTCCAAACAAGATGAAAGGGTTGCTCTCATTCTGGTCCTCTTTCCAGTCTCCATTTCAAGGCACAAGTCTCACTCTGCTGCTCACAAGTCTTTACCACTTCTCCGGCATTCTTTAACCTAACAGAGTAGTCTCAGTCATAAGGCCTGCAGCAAGCCCCCGTTCCAACTAAAATTCCATTACTGTATAGTTTTGTTTTAACTCTATCTATCTGTGAGCCTTCTGATTATAGCAAGCGAAAATGGTTTTCAATTTAAAGCAGTACTCTACATTAATAGCTAGTCTCTACAAATGTAAGTGAAAAAGTGAGTTAATTTAAAGACATAGTAGAGGTGGGATTCGGACCTGGTGCAGCAGGATATAGGGCAGTGGTACTCACTGAATTTTGGAAAACACTTCCCTGAGAGCTTCCACTAGTCTAAAGGCAGGTGGAGGAGAAGTTGGAAGAAAGAGAGGACATTAAGGAAAGAGAAGAATGATAAGAGTATAAGATGAAATGCACCTTGCATGTCCACCTTAAATACAGTAGGCTCGCCTGCCTCTTTAGGGGGCTGTTCTGTGGAGACAGAGGGCCATCCAGGATGCCACAGGGCCTCCTGGGATCAGGCCAGAGAGGTGGCAATCTTCCAGCACGAAGAAGCATGCAGGACCTGATTTGGAGGTGGCAGGAGTACTCAGAGGTTATTTTGGGAGCTGGAAATTTAATCCTCTGGACTTCTTACCTCCCCACCTTTAGCCAAGTCCACTGGCAGCCTCCTTTTCCTGAGACTGGTGGTGTGAGGTAGGACAGATTTTACACTGTCCAAGTTAAGATAGCATAGCCTTTCCAGGAAGAGGATATTTTCTTCTCCTCTGGCCTCAGAATGAAGTTCAAAGAGCATATACATGTTAGGGATTTTATAAATGAGTTTCAAGGTTAAAACAATGTTTTAGAAGACTTGAAATTATTTTCTCTTTAAAATAGTGCAACCCAAGACGTGAAGGAGGGCCAAATTTTTAAAAATATAGAAACAAAAATCCCTTTAAATGAAATTGGATAATTACTGGCGATAAATGATAGTATTAAAATAGTTTTGGATTAAAGTCAAATAAAGCAACTTGAAGGAAAAATTTCTCCCTTGTTCCCATTGGGGTTTTCCTTAGACCCACATTGTTAAAACGTGAAAGCTTTATTCTAGGCACAGGTTAGTGACAGTTACCTGGAGATCTGAAAAACAATTTGGGCCTTATAGCAAACGCTAATAATAATAATAATAATAATAATAATAATGCAGGAGAGTTCAAACTGAAGAGACCTCATAGTTTCAGACCTGATGGGTAAGAGATGGGAGATGAAAGTAGAGGTAGGAAAGAATGAATATCTTAACAGAGAGCAGTAGAGCTGCAGAGCAGGATTACATTATATAATCCTGCAGAGCAGGATTCTATTTATTGATTGTGTGCCAGGCACTGTAGTAAGTGCTTCATGTGCGTTGACTCAATGAATCCTCACAAGATTTTTGTGGAGTAGAGATGGTTTTTATATTGAGTTATAAGTGATGCAACCAAGACACAGAGAGGCTAAGTAAATCGCCAAAATTCACACAGCCAGTTATTAAACAGGGATGGATGCTTGGCACTTTCCCTGGTGTGGCAGGTTGCGTGGAATGTGGGTGATAGGTCACACTGAAAGACGCAGGATGAAAGCAGGTAATCATTTCTCAAAATCATGCTGACAAACTAAATAGTGGGTCCAAACTAAAAAGCATAAAATTCAGTAGGAATATATTTAAACCAACAATTCAATTTTTACAAATATTTATTGAGGGCCTACCTTGTGTTAGGCACTGTTCTAGACACTAAGGCGTTGGAGAACAAAACAGACAAAAATCCCTGTCCTGGAATTTATATTCTTGTAAGAGCAGAACAAAAATAAATGGCATAGAAAGTAGTATGTTAAAAGGTGATAGGTGTTGGGGGTGGGGAACTGAGCAGCGTAAGGGGATGGACTTGTGAATTTTGAATGGGGATTTCTGTGTAGGCCTCATGAAGAAGGTAAATCTGAGCAGACTCACTGGAGGAAAATGGACATCAGAAGAACCCTCTAGGCCTATACAAAGGTCCTGAGGTTGCATGTATATATAACATGAGGTAGCCTGGTATATACAATGTACAGTCTATTCATATGTCCTGAAATTTACCTTCAGAGGAATGAGATGAGCAAAGTAAAGCAAAAATTATGTTTTGGGATAATAGCTCCTGTTTATACTTCCTATGTTCCAGGCACTGCATTAAATTCTTTACATACATTTTCTCATTTAAGCCTTCAGCAATCCTGTGTGCTAAGATGTTTATACCCATATTACATGTGGAAAAGCTAAGACACAGAAATTTGGTGAAAATCCAGTCAGTTCAAATCCAGATTAGTCCAACCCCAAAGCTTATATTCTTGCCACCATCCTACTTTGCCTCCCATAAAAAATTAATCATTTGCTGAGCACTTCTATGTACATACATAATCTTTAACCACACTACAACTTATGTTATTTAACAACGACCAATTATATACCAGGCACTATTCTAGGCACTGAGGATATAAAACTCCTCGGCCTCTTGAAGCTTTCATTCTGGTAGACAGCTCTTTCAGCAGCTAATTCTGCAATTACCATTGTTACAGCACTTTAGAATTTTCAAAATGCTTTCGAAGATATTATCTTATTTTAAGTGCCCAAGAAGAAATAAACAGGCTGTTGAATGCTGGACTTTCAGACTTAATTATTGATCTCCAGAGCCATGGATGGTAGGCCACTATAAACACCTTTATTGCAGTGACTTTCAATGTGTCTAGAGTTTCATTGTCCTCATCCATTTGTCTTCAACTGTGCTCCCGGAATGAGATGTTACAGCAAATTCACAGGGGGCACCATGAGACATTTAAAATTTTTGAGAAATTTGACATCTGTTGGACATTTTACAAACTACTGGCTTGAGATAGTTCACATATTTCAATATTAGATTGTGCTACATTCCTTTAGATGATGCGTATCTTTGGAAAGCTAGGTTTTTAAAAATGACCATGATAAAAAGGAAGTACCTCATGAAAATCCATGTGGAACAGGGATTTCTGGTGGCAGAGTTTAATCTGTTTCCAAAGTTTGAGAAGGTGAGTTGTGCTAGACTAGCACACATCTGTTAGTATGTTCATTAAAAAATGACATGAAATTATTTTTCTTTTGATTTATGTGCGTTATTTGTTTAAATTCTCCTGAATTTTTAGGACTTAACTTGTTTGGACCTTACTACGTAATAAATAGAATTGTTTGGTATTTCCAAACAGCTCTGAGGCACTAAGGGCTCATGAAATGAGATGGTTTGGAAACCTCTGTCCTAACCCCAAGATCTTTATTTTTCCAAATCTCTGGTTTTAAATTCAAAGTTGTATCATGAATACATTTTCTTTAAAAGATAGGATTCATTTTCTTCTTAGCGTTTCTCTTCTTTTCAGCTAGCTGTCTCACCAGCCCCTGGATAGGTTTACATTGTTCCCTTATGGTAGATGAGAGAATGGTGCATAGCGAGGAAGTGACATCTAGTAAGAGCATAGATTCCCAAGGTCTTCAAACTCCCTGTCAGGGACACCTCTAGTCCAAATTAGGAACAGCTGCCTCTCTCTCTCTCAAGATACCTTTATTAATGGTAAATTTGTTTAATAAATACACAAACCTACAGTGTGTGTGATACACACGTGTCACCTTAGGTGTTACACATTTGCCCATGGTAGCCCAACTCCCAAGCCTGAATTCCTTCCACCAGACAGGAGTTAATGAGTACCAAGCTCCACCCACAAACTCGTGGGCAAGGAATGTACAGATGCCTGGGTGGGTCAGTTGTTTGAGGGTCTAACTCTTGATTTCAGCTCAGGTCATGATCCCAGGGTAGCAGGATTGAGCCCCATATTGTCTCTTTGTTGAGCGTGGAGCCTGCATAAGATTCTCTCTCTCTCTCTCTCTCTCTTTCTCTCTCTGTCTCTGTCTCTCTCTGCTTTCTCCTGTATGCTCTCCCTCTCAAATTTAAATAAAGCACACTAATCTTTAATTTTTTTTAATGTTTATTATTTATTTTTGAGAGAGAGGGGGGGGAGGGGGAGGGACAGAGAGAGAGGGAGACAAAGAATCTGAAGCAGGCTCCAGGCTCTGACCTGTCAGCACAGAGCCCAATGCAGGACTCGAACTCATGAAGTTGAACACCTAACTAATTGAGCCACCCAGGTGCTCCTAAGTTTACTAAACTTTTTTAAAGGAAGTTTATTTGTTTATTTATTTTGAGACAGAGAGAAAGTGCAAGGGGGGAGGGACAGAGAGAGGGAGAGAGAGAATCCAAAGCAGGTTCCACACTGTCAGCCTGATGCCAAGATCAAACCCACAAACCTGAGCATGTTAAGCTGGACACTTAACTGGCTGAGCCACCCAGGCACCCCAAAGTTCACTAATCTCAAGTGTACAGCTCAATAAATTTTTACATACAAATAAAACTATGAAAACACTGCCCTTCCTTCCTTCCTTCCTTCCTTCCTTCCTTCCTTCCTTCCTTTCATTTTTTTGGCTTTTAAGAATAAAGCTGCTATGCATTCTTGTACATCTCTGGATTAGTTTTAGAAATCACGTTAACATTCACCTATTTTTTAATCTTATCATCATTGAGATTTGGAAAACTTTTCTCTACAGGCAATAATTGCATAAGGGGGATTTTTCTATTGAGTCAACACTTTGATGTTTGTGACTGTCTCTATTTCTTTTGTGTATAGAAGAAACACTTTCCTGTTTTTTCTAAAAAATGAAAAATTTCATTTCTAAACAATGAAAAATTTTAGAATCATAGAGCCTAAAACAAGTTGAATAGTACAAAGTATTCTTTTTTTTTTTTTAAATGTTTTATTTATATCTAGGAGAGAGGGAGAGAGACAGCGTGAGCAGGGGAGGGTCAGAGAGAGAGGGAATCACAGACTGAAACAGGATCCAGGCTCTGAGCTGGCAGTCAGCACTGAGCCCGACGCGGGGCTCGAACCCACGAACCGCGAGATCATGACCTAAGCGAAAGTCGGACGCTCAACCGACTAAGCCACCCAGGTGCCCCTAGTACAAAGTATTCTTTAAGAAAACTGTTGAGGTCATCTGTTCTCAGGAACTGTTTAATGTGACTGTCTAAAGTGCTATTTTAAAAGTTATTTTTAAATCTTTGATAAGATTTGGAGAGAATTCAAGCTGTGGGTGCATGTCTCACTATGAAGGCAATGATTTGAGAAGTCTGTCCAGGGGTTAAGGGAATTACTTTGGAGAACATTAAGAACTTGAAACGCCTTCATCTGTTTGTCTTATGCTAAGATGCTTTCACTATTTGAAATGATAGAAAAAATCTGCTTCCATCTTAGAAAAGTTGTTTTTAATTTCAAGGCCATGCAAGTTTTAATACTATCTGGGGTATATTTGGGGATAACAAGTTAAAGGGGGACCAGGGGGTTAATTAGTGGCTCCAAGTGATACCTGGTTTCCCCCTTATTCATATGTCCCATTACTATTTTATAGAGGTAAGTAAACACAGGCTTTAGAGAGTTAAGTAATCTGTCTAAGGGCATGTTGCTAGGAAGCGGAGTTGGGATTGAAAGCCAAATTGTCTGACTGTAGACTCTGGGCTCTTATTAACATACCAGGCAAACCTTTGCTGGCACAGAGTAGACTATCTCCTTTCCCTCCAGTTGATGGTGGGGCTGTGACCTGGAGCTGGAGTTAAAAACATGACAATAAAGGCCAGGCAAGGAATAAAAATGAGGGAAGTGGGATAGGTTAAGAGGGTAAGAATTAATAATCAAAATAACAACAAGCACTTACTGTATGTCACTGTGTGTCAGGCACACTCTAAGTGCTTTACATGTTTTAACTCCCTCAATCCCCTGAATGATCTAATAAGATGGACACTGTTCTTACCACCACTTTACATAAGAGGAAGCTGAGGGCCACAGAGGAGAAATCACTTGTTCAAGGTCACACATAAAGGAGTCTGGCCCAAGAACCCACAGTCTTGTCCCTGGGGTGTGGAGCCACGGGCTTCTGGAGGGGTGCACAGTGGGGCACTGGTGGGGCTTGCCTCCAGCAAAGGGGGAAACTGCTATTCAGCTTCAGATGATTGCCCTGTGGACATTCATGCCCACTGGTAATATGGAATTTCACATGAAATCTCCCAATTTTTAAAAGTTAGCCATCAATTAAAAACACAATACCCGAGCAAGACAAACAAACCAAGCCTGCGGGCTGGGTCTGGCCTGCAGGCTTTGAGTCTGTGATCTAGTTACCGGGAGTGTGAGTTTTCAAGGCATGAAAGGATACACGAGCTTGGTAACATCCGTATATTGGCTTCTGAATGTAACTCAGAACTCTGTTGACAGCAAGTCTTGTGCTGTGAGAGCTAAGTGCCCTGACTCCTCAAAAAAGGCCTTTGTGAGTGGACACCAGTCACCACCACATCGCTGGCTAGCCGTATCTTAAAATACCAGGGCCATAACGCAGGAGTTTCATTTCTACAGGATTTTTAGATTACAAACCAGTATTTTCATCTGGTTTGCAAAAGTCTAGCCTAGATTGATCAGGTTCTCGATATTATATTACCTTTCTAATTCTGGGCAGACTTAAAGTGGTCCTGAAATCATCTTGCCTGTGCACTATTTACTTGTATTCCAATTTTCCCTTTTTTGAAGACTATCCTCCCTGGATGGCTTTGGAAAAATTTGAATCTAACAAAGTATGTAAGACAATTTCAAAAGCCCATTTATCCACAAAAAAATATTCTGTTAAACTAAATGGGATTGGACACTTCCAAGATTTCTTTTCCCTCTTAATATGTGTCACTTGTTTATAGTTGTTCTGTCGCTAGCTGGCGTGTAGAGGAGAACCAGAGGTTTTAAACAAAAAGCTTACTAGGCAACATTGTCAGAATTTTGTTTCTTTTACTTCATTTCCACCCGCTTCAGGCCTTGATATTCACACTGGGCATGTATTCTAGGTTCTTAGGAAAAATTTTTATTTTTATTTTTATTTTTTATTTCTAGGAGAGAGAGAGACAGCGTGAGCAGGGGAGGGTCAGAGAGAGAGGGAGACACAGACTCTGAAATAGGCTCCAGGCTCTGAGCTGGCAGTCAGCACAAAGCCCGACACGGGGCTCTAACCCGCGAACCGCGAGATCATGACCTAAGCGAAAGTTGGACGCTTAACCAACTAAGCCACCCAGGCGCCCCTAGGGAAAAAATATTTAAGCACTGTTACTAGTTTCTTAGGGCTTTCATAACAGACGACAACTGTTGGCTTAAACAACAGAAATTTATTCTCTCACGGTTCTGGAGGTTAGAAGTCAAGCTGTCAGCAGGGTCACACTCCATCTAAAGGCTCCAGGAAAGAGTCTTTCCCTGCCTCTTTCTTCCTAGTTGACAGTCCTCAGTGTTCCCTGGCTTATCCCTGAATTGCATCGATTTCTACCTCTGTCATCACATGACCTTCTCCCCTGTATCTGGATCCAAATCTCTCTCACCTTACCAGGACACCAGTCACTGCATTTAGGATCCAAACTAAGCCAGAATGACCTCATTTTAACTTGATTACATCTGCAAGGAGCCTATTTCCAAATAGGGCACCACAGGTTTGAAGTGGACATGCATTTTGGCAGAACACTGTTTAAACCAGTGCAAACATCTATTAGTAACTTCTACAAAAATAACCAGGATAGGTACAAAACAGAATTCTTAAAATTAATCATTAGACGTGACTTGAAATAAAAGCCAACAATCAGCTGTCATCTTGAAAGTGCATACCTTCCTAAAACTTTACGGTAGGCGTTTTGGGTATTAATGTGATTGCTTCCAACTTCTTCTTACCTTTTCCACTTTCATTATCTCTTTTGCTCTATTTTCTTCGTTGAATTGTTAAAATTTCTCTTTTATCCTGCTATATTCTATGAATTTTCATAAAACACCTGATGCTTTTCTGGAAGAAAGAATGGTAATGGTAAATAAATGAAATAATAATCACTGTTAATTTGATGGTAGTGTTGAGATATTGGCCTCCATTTGAGAACAAACTCATTATGAGAAGCTTTCTAACATGATAAAATGCCAGTGTGGATCTCAGAGTGATGTCTCTAATTGCCTAGACCTTTTTGCATTAGGTATCTGCATGAGTTATAACTCCTTTGTGAAGATAAAAAGGCTGCTGCAAGAAATTGCCCCAGTGCTATAAGAGCTGTCAGACTGGAGGGCATCTCAAATGAGATTAATGATGTCTGCCTTAATATAAGATTTAGCATAACCAAGATTGTGGATTCTGCAGAAACCTGTCAGCACTCATTTATTTGGAATAAATATTATTTTTAATTAAAGTCCTAAGGTAGGTTATTCCTGAACTAATGAGATCTGCAGTGATTTCCTTTGGGAATTAATTTTCCTTCTTAATTCTCAGTCATTTTGATGATTATGGTTCATTCACTCTTAGGCATGGCAGTCAGTTTCATAGGACATGCTGATTTCTAGCTAAAGGCACTAAATAACCCTCTGTTTTCACATGGCACTCTGATTTTAATTATATTTATCATTTAACTCAAACTCTATTATAGGTTTGTCTGTCCAACTTAGCTGTATATGGTGAGTTGGCTTTATAAAATACGATCACTCACAAGAGAATAAAGCTTCATTCTAAGTGAAATGACAGGAAACATAAAATCAGAAAATTATAGCACGCTATTTTAACCACCCCCCCCCTTTTTTTTAAATCAATTCTGGGTCTTTGCTAGGCACTGTGCTGAGTGTTTTATACACATAGACTTGACCTCACCTAGGAACTCTGCAAGATAGGACTTACCATTTCTGTTTAATAGATCATGGAACACAGATTTAGAAAGTAGAGCAGAGGTTTAACTCAATAGCTCATGTTCATAACACCATGCAACGAGGCCTCCATGGTGACAACCACCCAGCTTGCAGCAGACCTGCATATAAACATGAGTGCTTTACCAGTATGTGGTTCAACCAGATTTTCAGTGACTCAATAGCATTGCTGTTTTGACTACTCTTGCTATGCAGCAAACCACCCCCAAACTTTGTGTCACAGAGCCATTCTATGACACTCACAGATTCCATGGTTAAGGAATTTAGACAGGGAAACAATGATGGCTTATCGCTGGGCCTCAGTTAGAGAGACTCAGAGGTTGGAGTTGACTTACATGCAAGTTATTGGCTGGAACCTCAGTTGGGACTATAAGCTGCAACACAAACCTGCGGACTCTCCGTATTGCCTGGTTTTTCCACAACAGGGAAGCTCTTGGGTAGTTGGTCATCTTATATGACAGCTCAGGGCTCCAAGGGTGAGTATCCTGAGAATTAGGCATGGGCCTTTCCTAAACTAGACTTGGAAGTTATGCTGTGATACTTCTGATGCATTCTTTTGGTTAAAAACAAGTCACTAAGACTGACCCAGATTCAAGGAAGAGGACTTGGCCCCTCACTCCTTAATAGGAAATGTATCAAAGAATTTGCAGACATGTTTTAAAGCCATTGCAGTGGAAACAAATCCTCTACTACATACTGCTATTTCTGGCTTACATGTTGGAGCTGGGGTGCTCCTCTAACTCTCTTGCTGGATCCCATCCCTTCTGTCAATTTACTTGGTTTCCAGACATATAAGCAAGGGCACGCTTCAGGCAAATGTGCCTCTATTATTACTTGGGGATTCTGCCCCTAATTTCTAAATGATCTGCTACCCAATGCCTTGGCTGGGAAAGAGTAGAAGCATTAGTAGACCTCTTTTCAACCATTTCTTCTAAGGATAGAAAGAGGCAGACTGTGCCTCCCATTTACCTTAGATGGTTTCTCTTGGTCTTTCAGGAGCAAGAGCAGTCTAAAAATTTAAGATTTATTGCTTCACTCACATGCAATCATGCACCTGGTTAATTCAATCTTTAGCAAATTAAAATATTTGTTGACAGGACTCTGCTGGTGAAGACAGAAAGCATTGATCAAGGTTGCTGGATAAATGCAGAATTGGAATTGAATTCAGCATTTTCCATGTTGTTACAATATAAGATGAATAAAAGGGCTTTTTTTTTTTTTCCTTTAGAGGAGAAAAAGTTGAATAAAGACATGGAGACTACTTAAATGTAAAAGGAGGTGTTGGGCACCAGAGTTAAATCGATGATTTGGTGCCTCCTTTCCCTGGACCCTCATTCAAGAGATCATACTATTATGACATAAAGTCATGCTGAAACATGCATGCTGGATCTCTCTTAAGCTTCAGAGGACTACTCTTAATTGATTAGTATTGGCCTGGAATAAAGCTAAGGAGCAACAGTAATTAGGAATTCTTGGGCTCTAAATTCCACTTGTTCACTTCATATTTGAGATGTCTGCACATAAAGCTATTGCTGTTACTGCTTAATATAACTTCATGAAAAAAGTACCTAGTAGCCTTTGGAGAGCTGGGTAAAAGAACATGCCCCCTTCCCCCCTCCCACCAGCAGTATTCCTTGAAATTGTTTTCTGAATTAATAGGAATTTGAATGAGTAGATGGGCTATGTAGCTGGGTTTCTTCAGGATTTTACTATACTTTTAATTAAGTTTTTTATTATAATTCCAGTATAGTTAACATTTAGTGTTGTATTAGTGCAGGTGTGCAATACAGTGATTCAACAATTCTATACATTACTCAGAGCTCATCAGGACAAGTACCTTCTTTAATTCCCATCACCTATTTTATCCATTTCCCTCCATGCCCCCAACCCCCTTGGGAACCATCAGTTTGTTCTCTATAGTTAAGAGTCTGTTTCAGGATTTTATTATTTTTAAGGGAAATATTATCTTATGATTCATAATTATCAGAGTATTTTTTACTATGATGAGCTAAAACACTACATTTCCCAATCTTTCTTGTACTAGGAAAGTAGTCATTTGATTAAGTTGTAGTTGGTGTGGTATAATCTTCCAAGTCTCTTTTATTTTTTTAATTTAAACTTTAGTTAGTTAACATACAGTGCAATATTGGTTTCAGGAGTAGAATTCAGTGATTCATCACTTACAAACAATCAGTGCTCATCACAAGTGCCCTTCTTAACGTCTATCACCTATCTAGCCCATCTTCCACCTCCCTCCCTCCATCAACCCTCAGTTTGTTCTCTATCACTAAGAGTCTCTTGTGGTGGGGCACTTGGGTGACTCAGTTGGTTAAGCGTCTGACCCTTGGTTTCGGCTCAGGTCACGATCTCGTGGTTTGTGAGTTTGAGCTCTGCATGGAGCCTGCTTGGGATTCTCTCCCCCTCTCTCTTCTCTTCCCCTGTACATGCTCTCCCTCTCTCTCAAAACAAATAAATAAACTTTAAAAAAAGAGTCACTTATGGTTTGTTTCTGTATCTCCTCTTCCCCCCCCAACTTATGTTCATCTATTTTGTTTTTTAAAATAATACATGTGAGTGAAATCATATGGTATTTGTCCTTCTTTGATTGACTTATTTTGCTTAGCATACATAATCTCTTCTTTATCCATTCATCAGTCATTGAACATTTGGGCTCTCTCTATAGTGTGGCTATTGTTGATACTGCTGCTATAAACACTGGGGGGCACGTACCCCTTGAATCTATATTTTTGTATCCTTTGGGTAAATGCCTAACAGTGCAATTGCTGGATTATAGAGTAGTTCTATTTTTAGTTTTTTTGAGGATCCTCCATATTGTTCTCCAGAGTGGCTGTACCAATTTGCATTCCCACCAACAGTGCGAGAAGGGTTCCCCTTTCTCCGCATCCTCGCCAACACCTGTTGTTTCTTGTGTTGTTAATTTTAGCCATTCTGACTGGTGTGAGGTGGTATCTCATCATGATTTTGATTTGTATTTCCCTGATGATGAGTGATGTTGAGTATCTTTCCATGTGTCTGTTAGCCATCTGGATGTCTTCTTGGGAAAAGAAAAAAGACATCTACTCGTGTCTTCTGGCCATTTCTTAACTGGTTTATTTGTTTTTTGGGTACTGAGTTTGATAAATTCTTTATAGATTTTGGATACTAAACCTTTATCAGGTATTTCATTTGCCAAAACCTTCTCCCATTCTGTAGGCTGCCTTTTAGTTTCGTTAATTGTTTCCTTTGCTGTACAGAAGGTTTTTATGTAGATGAGGTCCCAGTAGTTCATGTTTGCTTTCATTTCTCTTGCCTTTGGGGACCTGTCTAGTAAGAAGTTGCTTCAGCTGAGGTCAAAGAAGTTATTGCCTGTATTCTCCTCTAGGATTTCGATAGTTTCCTGTCCCACATTTAGGCCTTTCATCCATTTTTAGTTTATTTTTGTATGTGGTGTAAGAAAGTGGTCCAGTTTAATTCTTTTGCATGTTGCCATCCAGCTTTCCCAACACCATTTGTTGAAGAGACTTTTCCCATTGGATATTCTTTCCTGCTTTGTCAAAGATTATACAGTTGTGGGCCAAGTCTTTTTTAATCTTAACTTCTTAGTCTTTTTAAAAGGGAGAGTGTACATCCTTTATCCTTTAATGTGGGCCTGTGGAATGTGAGAATGCTGGGTACAGCTTCAGCCATATTGAAGCATGTGGTGGAAGCCATCTACTGAAGATGGTGGAACAAGAGCCCAAGTCCCTGACATATGAATCCATCACAGCTGTATTTAAGTGTCCTTTACTTGAGAGAGAAACATTTTTCTTATTTAAGCCAGTTTGTTGTTGCTATTGTTGTTATGCTAGGAAGACTGGGAAGGACTGTTAAGAATGGTCACATTGCAGGGAAAGACAAAGTAGCAGCATAACAGGAGAGGTAGATTCTTTACATTCAAAAACTGGTTGCATATGGATGGCTTGACTTTCCTTTTGTGTTTCTTAAAAGCTTTTTTAGGGGCACCTGCGTGGCTCAGTTGGTTGAGCGTCCGACTTAGGCTCAGGTCATGATCTCATGGTTCATGGGTTCAAGCCCCACGTCGGGCTCTGTGCTGACAGCTAGCTCAGAGCCTGGAGCCTGTTTCAGATTCTATATCTCCTTCTCTCTCTGACCCTCCCCTGCTCATGCTGTCTCTTTCTCAGAAATAAATAAAACATTAAAAAAAGATTTAAAAAAGCTTTTTTAATGAAAAAAACCCCTGCAAATCACAAAAATGTTGAACGTATTACTTAAGAAAAATGTTAATTCTTTTTGTTTGTTTATTCATTTATTTTGAGAGAGAGAATGTGAGCAGGTGAGGTGCAGAGAGAGAGAGGGAGAGAGAAAATCCCAAGCAGGCTCCACACTGTCAGTGCAGAGCCCGAGGTAGGGCTCAAACTCACAAACTGTGAGATCATGATCTGAGCTGAAATCAAAACTTGAATGTATAATTGACTGAGCCATCCAGGTGCCCTGTAAAAGGTTAATTCTTGTTATAACTTTCATGATCTATATTCTTTTATCAAGATATTGCTTGTATTTATACAAGGATAGCAAATGAGTAGGTTTAATAAATTGTATGAGACCATTCGCTAGCTGGCATATTAAATTATATAATTTCTAGAAAACATATACATGAAGCTTGAGAAAAAATTTAAGTGTTTAGAAACAGAATTATTAAGTACTTAGTAAAATATTGGCCATTCACCTTTAATGTACACATTCCACATTCGAACTAGAGTCCAATATTCAAATCCCCCAATAACATTTAAACATTAGATTGATTTTTTTGACTCCCAAAAATGTATTAAAAATTCATTTTAGTTTCATGCTGTCTTTACTGGTAAGAGGACAGACATTTTTTCCAGAGATTGTGAGAATTTTAAGGTAGTTTCTCAAAAAAAAAACAAAAATAGATAAAACATATTTTTATAGTTCTTTTAAAGCTCTCTAAGGTCTGTGTAAATGCCTTTCAAAGGAATTTAGAAATTAGCTGAATAATGTCTCTTGGGAATTACATTGCAGAGTTATTATAGCAAGATGAAAATGCTTTGAAATTGGAACTTCAAGTAAAGGACAACAAATAAAAACTGAGTCTCTGGTATTTTCTAGGCTGCGGTGAATGCTAACATATTTGTTACTCTT